AGCAGCCACACCATGTTATATTCTCTTCATATTTATATTCTCTTTATATTTTATATTCTCACCAGTTGTGTATGAAGGTTCTAATTTCTTAACCTTTTTTTTTCTTTTAAGAGAGAGAGAACACATGCGTGTAAGCAGGAGTTGGAATAGGGGATAGAGGCTCCACGCTCAGGGCAGAGCCAACGCAGGGCTTGATATCCCCACCCTGAGATCATGACCTGAACAAAAGAGTCTACTATGCCACCTAGAGGTCCCTCTTCACATTCTTCCTCGTTTTTTGTGTGGTTTTTTTTTTTTTTAAGATTTTATTTATTTATTTATTTGATGCAGAGAGACAGTGAGAGAGGGAACACAACCAGGGGAGTGGGAGAGGGGAAAGCAGGCTTCCCACTGAACAGGGAGCCTGACGTGGGACTCGATCCCAGGACCCTGGGATCACCAACAGAGCCAAAGGCAGATGCCTAATGACTGAGCCACCCAGGCACCTCTCTTCACATCCTTCTTAACATTTGTTACAATGTCTTTTCTATTGTAGCCATTTTAGTCAATGTGAGTGATAGTGCACTGTGGTTTTGATTTGTATTTTCCTGATCCCTAAAGATGCTGACAATCTTGGCATATGCTTAATAGCAATTTATCTATCTTCTTTGGAGAAATGTTATTCAGATACTTAGGCCATTTTTAATTGAGTTGTTTAACTTTTTATTATTAGGTTGTAGTATATCTTTATATATGCTGGGCACAAGTCCCTCATCAGAAAAATGATTTGCAAGAATTCTGTCCCATAATGTATGTGGGTTGTCTCTGATCTTCTTGACAAGTGCTGTTTGAAGCACGGAAAGTTTTTAATTTTGACGAAGTCCATTTATCTACTTTTCATTTTGTTGCTTATGGTGTACATAAACACATCTAAAGCACACTAATGTGCTTTCTTACAGTAGATTTTAAAAGACAGAATAAACATAAGATAGAAAAAGTGACTACTTATAGGTAGAAAGTATAAACTGTTAAGGAAGAGATAAAATTAAACCTTGATGTGCAGATTTGACTTTGGGGCCACATATTTACTTTATATAATTATAGGAAAAAATTAAATTTTAAAAGAGCCATCTCTAAAAATTAAAAGTAAAACAAGCAAATCTGTGATTCCAACTTGTGGCATAACATCTCAAGAGGAACCATTCCAAATGACTCTAGCATACAGTAATTTGATTCCATATCCCCAGTGGAATATACCCTAAAGAACGAGAAGATTATAATAAACAAAGAAAACAAACAAAAACAGAAGACTGTTTTCAGTAGTCAAATCACTGAATATTATTATTTTGAGTGTTCTTCATAGAGTGGGGAATAAAGAATCATAATATTTCTTCCAAACTTTGTAAAGTGTGGAATAAAGAACTGTTGTTTTCTGTTCCATGATCCTATCCAGAACACATTACATGAACTCATATCTCTAAGCTCCTTGGGGTTGTGACATTTATTTTTTAATCTTTTAAAAGATACATATATACTAGCTTTGTAAAGCCACAGAAACAATGATCAACCCGGTAGCAATGAAAGTCCTAGTACCTAGAATATAGTCTTGAAATGCTGTTTCCATTAATATGAAGGAGGCTTGAATCAGGAAATGAATAAGAACCTAGAACACGGTAATAATGCTTGATTTTTGGCTTTCTTTACAATTTATTTCATTAAATTTAATTCAATACAATTCAAGTACTCCGGATCCCTGCCACGGGAAAAGTCCTATTAGGGGCATTATTTAGCCAATGAGTTCAGAAACAGAGGGTAGAAATGCATAAGAATAAAATAACACATATTAATGTGAGTCTTCTGTTTTTCTTTTTCTCTCAAATGTAACTCCAATAAATTCCATCTATCCATCTATTTATCCTGAATAAGTTATCAAGTCTATAAAAGCCCTTTCCACATAAAAGGTGAGGTTCTGATTAGAAATATTATTAGAAATCTGACAACTGCTTGGAAACAAAGTAACAGCATTTCTCTTTCAGAATGGGTATTATAGGAAATTTGATTTCCATTAAGTGTGTGTTGTGAAGGTATGTATGTGGGCAGCGTTTGCTTAAAAATTGCAGCTGGCACCTACTCTCTAAAAATGAAATCATTTCTTTTTTTTAAAGATTTTATTTATTTGAGAGACAGAGTTCAAGCGAGAGAGCATAACAGGTGGGAGGGTCAGAGGAAGAAGCAGACTACCCACTGAGCTGGGAGCCTGTCGCAGGGCTCCAGTCCCAGGACTCCAGGGTCATGAACTGAGCCCAAGGCAGTCGGTCAATTGACTGACCCATCCAGGCACCCAAAATGAAATCTTTTTTTTAGCATTCACTAAATCAGATATTGAATTTCACCTTTTAAACTCTGCTCCTATTTGGTATACCACTTGTCTGATTTTGGAAATACAGTTTTATTGGAACTTAGCCGCGTCCTTTTGTTTATGTATTATATATGGTTGCTTTCACTCTACAACAATCTTGAGTAGTTGCAACTGAGAACATGTGTCCCATAAACCTAAAACACTAACTATATCACCCTTTGCAGAAATTTTATCAACTCCTGACTGAGAAGATCTACTGAAAACCAAGAAAGCAAAGACTAAGATCAAGTCAAAAGAACCTAAGAGCCAACCTGAATAGGCTCCAAATGGTAAATACGGCACAATACTAATTTAAGTATACATAAATGAAACAACTGCAATAGACTAAAACATGTAAGTATATAAAAATCCATACTTCTATAATGATAGTAAAAAATAACAATCACCGATACCCAGGAAAGAATGCTAGCAAACCATCATTTCATTATGGTTCATTACTTCCTCATTTTAAAAACTGTTAAGTTAGGAGAAAAAAAAAATCTGTCCTGCCTCCCTTAAGAAATCTGTACCTCAAGGTAACCAATCAGTTCATACAGAAAATTTTCACTATATATAATTATTCCAGTTAAAGAATAAAAATATAATTAATTTGACTATAACTATTTAGCAATCTCTAATGAAATAATAATAGAAAATATCACAAAAAGAGTCAAGAAGACACTATGTGTCTCTTCATGGAAGTATACATTAGCATTAGTGTAGCCATTGTGCCCCCAAAAAAGGGCGGGGGGTGGAAATGGAGAGAACCCACCTGAACCAGATCAAGCCTCTACATCCAATCTCTAACTAGAGAAATATAGAAAAAAATGTTAAAGATGACATATTGTGGGAAACTTTACTGGACAAATCACTCAGCTTCTTCAACAAATATGTTCCAAGGAAAGACAGAAAAAGAATAAGAATGAGGGGTGCCCAGGGGTGCCTGGGTGGCTCAGTCAGTTAAGTGTCTGCCTTCGGCTCAGGTCATGATGCCAGGGTCCTGGGATGGAGCCCCACATCAGGCTCCCCACTCAGCAGAGAGCCTGCTTCTCTCTCTCCCTCTGTTGCTCCCCCAGCTTACGTGCTCTCTCCCTGTCAAATAAAGAAAACCTTAAAAAAAAAAAAAAAAAAGAATGAGGGCACCTGGGTGGCTCAATTGGTTGGGCATCTGATGCTTGGTTCCAGCTCTGGTGACGATCTGGTGGTCATGGGATCGAGCCCGGGATCCTGGTCCATGGGGAGTCCACTTCTGATTCTCTGTCTCCCTCTGCCCCTCCCCCCACCCACATGCACGCTCTCTCTCTCTCTCAAATAAGAATAAAAAACTATAGATAAAAACAAAGAAACTACAGATTTTTAAAAATACTTTATTAAAAGACTTATGAACCAATCACAACACACGGATCACATGGATCTTATTTGGGCCCAGATTCAAAGAAATCTTGAAATTAAAAATAAAGTTATTTGCCTTGTGGGGAAATCTAAATCTAAGGAAATACTACTTATTTTTTTAAGGAGAATAATGGTATTTGATTAAGTTTTTAAAAGACTATCATTTATATACACATTTATGGATGGAACAATACAGCTTCTGGTATGTGCTTCAAAATAATCCTAGGTAGATAGACATACAGATTAAACAAGACCGGTCATGAGTCAATTATCACTGAAACTGAGCAAAGTGGTGCATAGACATTCATTACTGTTTTGTCTATTTTTGTACATGTTTGGATTTTTTACAATGAAGAGTTAAGGAAAACGGTGATCAGAGCTTAGTAAATTGATTCTACTACACACAAAAATCAGGTAACAACCGCATAGCTTGAAAAACTCTATAAAAGCATATTAACAATTTCCTTTAATTTTTCAACAACGAGCAAAATACCCTGAATAAAACATAAAATCAGAAAATATTATTTAGAAAAGTGATAATGCAAGAGACAACACAGCAAAAACTATTAAAATTTAAAGTACACATAAACACCTGAGAAACTAGCATTCATTCTACCAACAAACTCATTGATAGGCTAAATTCAAGGATATTTATCCCACCATTGTTTATAACAGCAAAAGATTCATAGCCAGCTGAAAGTTCATTAATAAGGATTAATTCTTAAAATTATGGAATCATGTAATACTGTGCAGCGATAAATGAAGTCCTTCATGTACTAATGGATGTACAGAATTCCCCTGGAAGTACTCAGGAACCTAGGCACACTGGTTGCCTTCTAAGTAGGAAAAGCTTGTGAGGGTGGGGGTGGGGGGGCAGCTAAGAAAGAGAATTCACTGTATACTCTTTTGAACCTGTTAAATACTTAGAGAATGATCTCTTAAACAATAAAATTGAAAATACTCAAAGTGAAAGCTTTCAAATTTCTCTCTAAGAGATGTATTTCATTCCTTCAAATCATTCAAAAATCTTAGAAGGAGCAAAATGGAGTGGAATAACCTCTTTGGGGCCAGACTTTGAGTCCATTCCATTATTATTCTTTGGAATAGCCAGGCCCAAAGACCAAAATACTAAAAGGATCTTTGTTAATGGAGTTTCAAAAGAAAGCAAGCAAATATTCCCATATCGTGAAAAACCAGAAAACACTTCAGAGACGAAAGAATAACAATTTACCTTGGACTAAACTGAGTTGTCCAACATGAGCTCTTCCCTTAGTCTCTGGTCACCTGTATAAGCCAAGTCCATTAACTGGTAAGGGATGAAGAAGCATAAGGAAAAGGGACAAAACCTTTCCTTGAGCCCAGACTGACTTTGCCCTCTTTTTCAGAAAAAAGGAGTACTCTTGTGCAACCCCTGGGTACGAAGGAACCAGAACTTCTTGCACAACCCACCGAAATTCCAAGCACCAAGGAACTAGAATTTCTTGCACAGCCTCCAAGGACCCAAGATTAACTCTATAGCTGGCATCAAGTCCGCATGTGATCAAGAAACATCACAAACCAGTGTAGCTGGGTGGCTCAGTCGGTTAAGCAGCTGCCTTCGGGTCAGGTCAGGATCCCAGATTCCTGGAATCGAGCCCCCATCAGGCTGCTTGCAGAGCGGGGGGCCTGCTTCTTCTCTGCCTGCCATTCCCCCTGCTTGAGCTTGCGCTCTCTCTCGCTCAGTCGGTGTGTCAAATAAATAAAATCTTTAAAAGAAAAATGTCACGGACCACTGCACTCCCTTAAGTGATTAAACCCCTTTAAAAATCTCTGGACCCAAAATAAATAGCAAAACAAACAAAATCTCTGGGCCAGGAAGAAACCTGAGCTGGGCTTTGGACAAGAGTCGGCCTTCTTCCCGAGTGGTCGGCCTTCCTCAAAAGGAATTTGACTTCTTTCCAGTCAAAACTCCAGCCACCAATAGTACAATCTCGGTTTCTGCAACGCAGCCGGCCAGAGACCCCACAACTACAAGCTTCCAGAAACCTTCAAACCCACAACTGGCCTCAGGGTGACCATTTCTCTATCACTGCTCCCCCCACCCCATTCGGCTCCCGGATAGACACAGTTGGGAAGCGCTAGACTCCTAACGACATAATTAAAGCAGGAGTCAGTTTCACAGCTTTCACAAGCACTCACACAGCTGGAGACATTATTACCACGCCTTCGTGAGGTCACACATAATCATGCAGTCCCACAGGCACATTATGTCACACACTCACACAATAACGTGTGAAGGCCTGAGGATCCGCACGCGACCGCTCACGGTCCCCGCCCGGGCTAAGACGCGCCTCACCTTCAGCTTCCCTGGCGCCAGGCTCCCGGGCCGCCTCACCGGAGCGAACCCACCGGCCGCGCTTCCTCCGCCGGGGCGCTGTGCAGTTCGCTCCAGCATAACGGCGCCGACCACCTTAGAAGGAAGTGACGTTACCCCTGGAGGCCTCTGGAAAGTGTAGTCCAGAACACGAAAGACCCCAGAGAGCCTTCGACCCGAGTAATCGTTACCGGGCGCCAGCCTGCAACCGGGTGCTCCTCCACTCTTAAGACAAATCGCTGCGACCCCGCAGTCGCCGCTGCGCACCCGTCACCCCAACTCGCCTTCAGCAGGACGTTTATTTCCGCCCCGGGGACTTCTGGGACTTGTAGTGTCGCCTAGGAGCCCCGGAGGGCGGAGCGGGGCGATGGAGAACCCTCAGCCCCAGCCTGGAGCTGGCTGCCGGAGATGCCGCGACATAGCCGGGTCGGGGGTGGAGATCCGAGTCTGAAGAGTGGAGGAATGCCTGGGCTCTAACTGCGGCCAGGCTTAGTGGGGCAGGAGAGAGAGGTAGAGGGAGGTTTTAGTGCTGGTGAGAGTGTTTGCTTCGATTTATGATCTTGGGTGTGGTTGTGTTGCTGTGCCTGTTTTACGATTTAAAAAAAAAAGGGGGGGGGGTGCCTGGGTGCTTCAGTGGGTTAAGGCCTCTGCCTTCAGCTCAGGTCATGATCTCAGGGTCCTGGGATGGAGCCCCGCATCGGGCTCTCTGCTCAGCAGGGAGCCTGCTTCCCTCTCTCTCTCTCTGCCTGCCTCTCTGCCTACTTGTGATCTCTCTCTCTCTCTGTCAAATAAATAAAATAAAATCTTAAAAAAAAAAAAAAGCTGAGTGTTTAAAAGTACAGTTTTTGAATGTCACATACAAAAAAGTGCCCAAATCATTAGAATAAAGCCGGATGCATTTTCATAGATTGTCCAGAGTTGTGTACTCGTGTAGCATCCCCGAAGTCCCCACCTGTCACCTGTAAAGGTCTCCATCTGATTTACAATATAGTTTTGCCTGATTTTGAGCTTTACATAAATGCTATCATATTGTATGTACACTTTTACCCCTTGAGTCTGACTTCTTTTGCCAAATATTGTTTGTGAGATTAATCGGTAAAGTTTATTTATTCTCATTCTTGACAGTCTTGGCTTGTTTTCAGCTTGGGGCTACTAGGAATAGTGCTCCATGAACATTCTTGTTTGTAGTCTTTTGCTGTGTATATGTGTCATCTTGGTTACATATATATCTAGGAGGGGCATTGCTGGATCATAGGTTACACATATGTTTAGCTATAGTAGATATTGCCAGACGTTTTCTGAAGTGGTTCCCCTACTGTAATTCCACCAGCTCTGTATTATAGTTCGAATTGTTCCGCATCCTAGCAACTTAATATTGTATGCCTTTTGTTTTTTAAACTTTCTGGTGGGTGGGTGGTTGTTTTGAATACCCCTGATGTATACATTTGTATATCTTCTGTAACAGGCAAAGATACTCAACCAGCTTTAGCATTTACTGTGGATAAACAAGAGAAGGTCCGAGAGGATTTAGGTCCCCTTGCAGAGGTGTGTGTTGTATGTATTGGTGTCGATCCAACATCTTCAGTACTGCCTCTCTTTCCAAACCTTGCCCCTTTAAGAAGAAATAGGAGGGGTGCCTGGGTGGCTCATTTGGTTAAGCCCCAGCTCTTGATATCAGCTCAGGTCATGATCTCAGGGTTGAGAGGTGGAGTTCCACTTGACTCTGTGCTGAGTGTGGAGCCTGCTTAAGATTCTCTCTCTCTCCTTCTCCCTCTGCCCCTGCCCCTGTGTGCTTGCACACATGCATGGGCATACACACTTTCTCTCTTAAAAAAAAAAAAAAAAAAGAAAGGGAAGGGAAGGAAAGAAAGGAAAAAGAATAGGAAAGGGGTAGAGGCAAATTTTTAGCCTCCATCCTGAAGAGGGACCCAAGGCCACATGCATTAGTCCAGGTATGTTGGGGACTTGACAGTGACCAAGTTTGCCAAACATCTTAAGCCCTTACAGACCTTGGAATGTAAGTTACTGTGATACCAGGAAATGCCCTTGGTCATGGTCAGAAAAATTACTTGAGCTGGATTTAGAAATCATTTTTCCAGTTGGACAGTATAACTTTATAGGTGGGTTCCTCTGGCCCAGTATCAACTCAGGTGGTTGTAACTGATATTGCTGAATGTACTTTGGAAATAGATGTGTTAATTACAGGTAACAATTCTCTTGATCATAGGGATGTTCCCAATAGGGAAATGCCACAATTAGAATAATGGTAGTAGCACAAACACACGACCCAGACCTATAAGACCTCTCCAGTATATTCACATAGTTATTGTGAAGCAGTGCAGGAGACCAGGGAAGAGTATCAGGGAAGTAGAAGAGGTCAGAGGTCACTATAATGATCAAATAGTTAATGGAGTCAGAAGTGTTTAAAGAAACTGTATCACATAATAGCCCTCAGTGACCAGGGGAAAAAGCCAATGTTATTTGGAACCTCACTATGGACTACCACTCTCTATGTGGGAATAATATACTGGCATGTGAAATTCTAGATTTAACAATTACAGAATCCATAATGCAGACCAAAGTTATCTGTTTTTCAATTGTAGACATTGCTAATGCCTTCTCAGCATCCCATTGCCTCCTGAAGATTAGAGCCAATTTGCTTTCCCAGATTCCACTTACCTTTATTTTATCATGTTGTCACAGGCTATCCTAAATTCTCCATAATTTATCACTAGTGGATAAGCTTAGGCCTCAAAAAAGGCTGAAATATCACCAGAGGTGTCCTGGTCAATTACACTGATGGCATTTATTCTGACTGAAAGGGCTAAAGACAGCATATAGACTGCCTTTCATGAGATGAGTCCATATCTGAACCAGAGCTGGAAGATTAGCATCCCAACAAGATACTGGGGCTAACCACACAAGTAAGTCTCTTGGGAACCATGTGGGCTGATGCTCAAAGAAAAAGCCCTGACCTTGTTAAAGAAAAACTGTTGGTCTTAAAACCTCTAGCAAACAAAATAAGGCACAACATCTGATAGGCTTGTTCGGGTATTGGAGGCAGTCCATACCTCACACAAGGTTGAGAATCTTGCTGAACCCATCGTATCAGATTGCTCAAAAGAGTCCCCGTCACACTGTAGATACAGCCATATCAGAGGTGGTGTCTGGACCAGCACTTTGGGCTTCTTGGGAGCTTTGGAACACTAACATTCCTGAGTATTCCTGGGCCTGGTTCATGCACATATCAGCTGAGGTAAGAGCATATGGGATGTAGTGGACCACTGCCACAGTGCAGATTCAAAGAAAACTGCTTAAAACTGTGTATGGCAAAGAGAATTCTGCTTAATGGGGGGAGCTATAGACTGTTATGCTTCCCTTGGAAAATAGTCCCCCAAATGCACCTTGTTACATTTTCACTGATTCCTGGGCAGTAGCCAATGGACTGGCAATGTGGTGTGTTGCCTGGCAGTGGGACAATTGGATGATCAAATTTTAACCTCTTTGGGAATGAAGAGTTATGGCAGCAGATTCCACAAGACCCACATCCTGCTTGTGACCATGTGGATGTAAAGGACCTTATAAAGATGAACATTAAGGGAATCCACAAGATGATCAGATAAGGACCCAGGTAAGGACCATATCCACCTAAATACACCATTACACAGGGCATGAGAATTTATTATTCAAGACCGAGCCCAAAAATGAGACACAGTGATTCCAGCTCATGAGGCCAAGAAAGCCCAGCAAATATGACCAGGCTGTCAGCTATGCAGTTGAGTAGCAGAGAGAACTCTGGGACACATAACAAGGGGTACCAAAACAGGCTGGTCCTGGAAAATAGACCATATGGGTTCTCTAGGAGGCACTCAAGGGTACTGCTGAGTATTGATGATAATAGACAACTTTTCAGCATCCAATACTTCCATCCCTTTCCACAGAGCAGATGGGTGGCCATACTATTCAAGGGCTCTAGATGGACAGTGTTACATAGTTATCTACTTGTATTCCCTAAACATATCCAGTCGGACAATACTGCCACCTCACAACAACAACAACAACAAAAAGCAGCAGTAGGCAGCAACCTGGGATATTCATTGGAACTTTCATGGCCGTGTCATAGTTAAGCAGCAAGTGCCACTGAAAGATTGAATGGGTTTTTAAAAATATTTTATTTATTTATTTGAGAGAGAGAGGGAGAGAGAGAAGGAGCGTGAGAGGGGAGAAGGTCAGAGGGAGAGGCAGA